AACTTGTTAATCTCACCCAAAACTTTTTCTTATTTTCAACAAAATTTGTTGATAACATCTCACCCACTCTCTCATTTGCTCTCTTTTTACATTGCTTCACCACTCTCTTAACCTCTCTCTTTTTCTCCATATACTCTTCCCTCCTTGCATCACTTCTACTTTGTAAAAACTTCTCAAAATGCTAACTTTTTCTCCCTTACTACTCTCTTTACATCATCATTCCATCAATCGCTCCTCTTCCCTCCTGCACCCACTTTCCTGAAACCCAACAAACTTCTGCTGAACATTTCAAAACACTACTTTTTTTAAACCTCCCCCCATACCTCTTCGACCCCATTGCCTATGCTCTCATTAGCCCATCTATCCTCCAATAGCTGTTTATATCTTACCCTAACTGCCTCCTCTTTTAGTTTATAAACCTTCACCTCTCTCTTCCCTGATGCTTCTATTCTCCTTGTATCCCATCTACCTTTTACTCTCAGTGTAGCTACAACTAGAAAGTGATCTGATATATCTGTGGCCCCTCTATAAACATGTACATCCTGAAGTCTACTCAACAGTCTTTTTATCTACCAATACATAATCCAACAAACTACTGTCATATAAAATAAATAGATACAAAATACCAATGTACTTACTTGGTTATTAACCTGGCATTCAGCTTAACCCATTAACTGTCCAAACATAGATCTACATTCTTACCACTAGCGCTCCAAACGTAGATCTACGTTTTATTTTTCCTGCTTCCAAAATTGGCATGATTGGCCTGAGATGCCTGGTCAGCATAGAATGCGTCTTAACAGTCAGTGTGCGCAGTATTAAAAAAAATCTGGTACCACTTAGTACCTTGTGAGAGCTCCAGTTCAATTGAGTGCCAGCTAGAGCAAACAGCGCAGCAAACACCAGGGATTCACTGATGTCATGTTGTATTAACACTCCCCTTTTAAGAGGAAAGTGATGATGACCCTGAGTTTAGTGGCTTTGAGGTGAATGTGGCCACAAGTGGTCAAGAAAATATCAAAAAACTTGATAAAAACCCATGTGCAACATTTGTGTAACACCCTTTCAACTTGGGTACCACTGGTAGACATCCTGCCAGAATGTCCTATAACCTATGCCCTAAGTAAAAAGAAACAATTCTGAAACATGTAACACATGTTCGGCAGGCTGACTGGCCTGCTGGCTGGCCAGCGGCTGCATGGCTGGCTGATTGGCTCTGTCTATCTCTGTCTGTCTTTCTGTATTTGTCTGTCTCTGTCTATCTCTGTCTCTATCTCATAGGTACACATAAATACAATTATACATAGTATAAATTACCTAGGATAACCCAAAAAATCCAGACAAAGTGCTATACTGTGCTTGTAGATATAATGCATAATAAGCATGACTGGCAAGTAATACACATTTTCACTTGTTCAGGAATCAGACGTGAATACTCTGCATCGTGTGTAATACCTGTTTGTTCACAAGTTGCTCCCTCTCTCTCCGAGACAGAAAGAGAGACAAGCAGAGAGACAGAGACAGACACAAAGACATAAGCAGAGACAGAGATAAACAGCTAGACAGACAGACAGACAGATGGACAGACAGAGATGTTTATGTGTAATAGTGAAAACAAATAAAGCCAAGGTAGTGCACATTCATCAAATGTCACTGCACTGTCAGCAGTGGAGAGACACTCGTTTTACACCATGCTTCAAGGAAACTTATTATTATTATTAATTATTATTATTATTATATACTCCCACATGTCCAAAACACTGGTGGAACCTATAAACACTATGTATATATATCTAGACAAAAACAGTGCAAAAACAGTGATTATGTGTGAGTGAGATAAAAGTGTTGAATGATGATGAAAGTATTTTGTTTTTGGGAATTTTTTTTTTTTTGGGGGTCATCCTGCCTCGGTGGGAGACGGCCGACATGTTAAATAAAAAAAAAAAAAAAGGTGACTAAGGTAGGTGAAAATGTTCACCTGTCACTGTGTTTGTGACTATTTGAGTACAATTTCAGTACCCAATATTAGTGTCAGAACAAAGACTGGATATGAAATCACAAAAACTACTACAAACTGTAATTATCAGAAATTTTTTTTTTTAACAAGTCGGCCGTCTCCCACCGAGGCAGGGTGACCCAAAAAGAAAGAAAATCCCCAAGAAGAAAATACTTTCATCATCATTCAACACGTTCACCTCACTCACACATAATCACTGTTTTTGCAGAGGTGCTCAGAATACAACAGTTTAGAAGCATATACGTATAAAAATACACAATATATCCCTCCAAACTGCCAATATCCCAAACCCCTCCTTTAGAGTGCAGGCATTGTACTTCCCATTTCCAGGACTCAAGACCGGCTATATAAAAATAACTGGTTTCCCTGAATCCCTTCACTAAATTTTTTTTTTTTTCAACAAGTCGGCCATCTCCCACCGAGGCAGGGTGACCCAAAAAAGAAAGAAAATCCCCAAAAAGAAAATACTTTCATCATCATTCAACACTTTCACCACACTCGCACATTGTCACTGTTTTTGCAGAGGTGCTCAGAATACAACAGTTTAGAAGCATACACATATAAAGATACACAACATATCCCTCCAAACTGCCAATATTATCTAAATATTACCCTGAATATAAATAAAAATAAATAAAAAAAAAAAAAAAATGAGAAAAAAAAGTATATAGGCAACACTTCTGCAGGCAGCAGCGCTTCATGTTGCTGTCATGTGAGCAACAAGTGCTGACTTTGCAGCCTTATATCTCTGTACCTACTGACTAAATTTTTTTTTACATTATGTAAAAAAATGTCCTCTTTATTTAAAAAAAAAAAAATTATTTTTTTTTTCAAAATATTTGGAGCGCTGGGCAAGAGAACGTAGATCTACATTTGGACAGTTAAGGGGTTAATAACCTACCACATATAAATAACAAAAAAAAAAAAAAAAAAAAAAAAAAGGCACAATACCGTGACTGGAACGATACACAAATAACGCGCACATAGAAGAGAGGAGCTTACAACGATGTTTTGGTCCAACTTGGACCATTTACAAAGTCACACTAATGAAAAGGAGAGCAGGATGGGTATATATAGGCAGGAGCTGGTAGTAGTAGTAGTAGTAGTGGTAGTAGTGGGGAGGTAGTAAGAGAAGGAGGGGCCAGTCAAATACTAAGAAAGAGGAGCACTGCATGGGAGATAGGTGCCCACAGAGGGTAAGAGCAAGAACACCGAGGGGAGAAAAACAAATAAATAAATAAAGAAGGAACAAATACACAGGGCAGAAGAAAGACAACCCAAAGGAGAAAAAGGAAAGAGGAAAGGGGAAGAGAGAGAAGAAGAAAAAAAAAGGAGAAATCAGGTGAGGTTACGAGTGTTCTGAAGTTTGGAGCATTTTACAATGTAGTGGGAGAGGAAGGCATCTACAGAGATGAAGCCAGGACTAAGATTCATACAAGGAAAGTTGTGTATTAGGGAGGATTCAACCAGACGGCGACTATTAAGGTTGGAAGTAGGGAAGACAGTTTTAGCAGAAGATCAGTCAATAGGATGGCTGTGATCTCTGACGTGACAGAAAAGAGCATTGTTAGTGTCTGCAAGCCTAACACTATTTTTGTGCTCCCTAAGTCTGTCAGAAAGAGATCGGCCAGTTTCTCCAAAGTATTGAAGAGGACAGGAGGAACAAGAAATAGAGTAGACATCAGGAGCATCTGTAGAGGGAGGAAAGGTATGAACAAGATTAGTGAGAAGACTAACACTCTTCGCACTAATCTCGTTCATACCTCTCCTCCTTCTACAGGTGCTCCTGGTGTCTACTCTATTTCTTGTTCCTCCTGTCCTCTTCAACACTTTTGAGAAACTGGTCGATCTCTTTCTGACAGACTTAGGGAACACAAAAATAGTGTTAGGCTTGCTGACACTAACAATGCTCTTTTCTGTCATGTCAGAGATCACAGCCATCCTATTGACTGGTCTTCTGCTAAAACTGTCTTCCCTACTTCCAACTTTAACAGCCACCATCTGGTTGAATCCTCCCTAATACACAACTTTCCTTGTATGAATCTTAGTACCGACTTCGGCTCTGTAGATGCCTTCCTCTCCCACTACAATGTAAAATGCTCCAAACTTCAGAACACTCGTGACCTCACCTGATTCCTCCTTTTTTTTTTTCTTCTTCTCCCTCTTCCCCTTTCCTCTTTCCTTTTTCTCCTTTGGGTTGTCTTTCTTCTGCCCTGTGTATTTGTTCCTTCTTTATTTATTTATTTGTTTCTTCCCCCCTTCGGTGTTCTTGCTCTTACCCTCCGTGGGCACCTAGCTCCCTTGCAGTGCTCTTCTTTCTTAGTAGTATTTGACTGGCCCCTCCTACTCTTACTATCTCCCCACTAATACTTCCTTCCACCTCCACTACTACCACTACTACTACTACTACCACCTCCTGCCTATAATTGCCCATCCTGCTCTCCTTTTCATTAGTGTGACTTTGTAAATAGTCCAAGTCGGACCGAAACATCGTCGTAAGCTCCTCTCTTCTATGTGCGGGTTATTTGTGTGTCTACCACATATTAGCAACACTTGCTACATCACTCCCTTGTCCATCCAATCATATGCCTTTACAAAATTCATAAATTTAACATATCTAGATACCTTCGTCTAAGCATTTGCAACTTGTATAATTTAACACAAACACTTGATTCACAGTCGCTTTTCCTTCCTAAATTCTCCTTGTTACTCTGCAATACTAATGTTTATCTTTCCCTAAACTCTTTGAATAATAATTACACTATACATTTTATCAGGTATATTCAACAGACTATTTTCCTGTAATTCTTTCTCTTGTTTCTGATTACATTTTATTCAGGAAAATAAACTGAATGCCAAACACTCTTAGTCACCAACAAAATTCTGGAATGCATCTCATTGGTTAGTTGTTAATCTCTCGTTTAGTGAAGGTTGGAAAATGAGCTAAATACTGGTAGGAAAATAATGCATTGCAGTGACTTACAAGGTGTCTTTCTAGGCACTTCCGACTTTTGCGGTACTTCAAACAGAATTCGCATATGTAGATACAATCCAAATTTGTTATTTCCTGTTCAGAAGAGAAGATAATCAAACGTATATAATTTACAAAGCGTAACAGGCATTATTAACCCTTAAACTGTCCAAACATAGATCTACGTTCACATGCATAATGCTTCAAAAGTAGATCTACGTTTTTTACATATTTTCAAATATAACAAAAAAAACGTAGATCAAAGTTTTTTTACACGCTTTCAAATGTAAAAAAAAAAATAAAAAAAAAATGTACGTTTTTTTGCATACTTTCAAATGATGAAAAAACGTAGATCTACGTTTGGACAGTTTAAGGGTTAATGAACAGTATACAGCATAACATAAATTACGAAGCCTGGAAATTCAACTGATTTTCAGACACAAAACATTGAGACAATTAAACCATTAGATACACTGAATGACCATTATTTATTAAATTCACTGGGCTGAGCTAAACTTGTAGCAAGCATTCATCATCTGGGGAATGAAAGGTACCAGTAATGAGTAATGATAAAAATATGATAGTTCCAATTCCTCAGATTAAGAGTTCTTCAGCATCATCAAGGCAGTACCCCATCATCAAGGTACACTTCAAGTTCAACAATCATTATTACTAACTCTATTTTTCCTGCTTCCAGGGAAGGGGAAATATTGAGGATTTTTTTTATTCTGTAGTTTTGCCTTTCTCCTGTAAGTTTTGACATTAAAATCAACAAAAAAAAATTTTGAGTGAAAAATTTGAAATGTACTCTGGACTTGCAGTGAGATGGTCAAAATAAAAAAAAATCTTGGGGTGGCAGTACATGCCAAGTGCCAACAATTTTTTTTTTTTTGTGGATGCCTTCTTGGGCATGTGTGCCATAAGTCTGCTACCCCTGCTCTACAATATCTTAAAATATTTTTGCACAACCCAGAAGTAAGCATTAAATTTAAGGGTCTTAGATTAAAGGTTAAATACATTAATAATTACTAAGGTAAATAATTATAGTAAACAAGGTGGAAAACAACCACCCAGATTTTGATTAAACAATTACAAAATAAATTATTTTGCAATGGCCCTAGGGCTTCTCAGTTGTGTTTAAACAGTTAAGAGCTGCACAAAATCACCAGCATAACACTCATGCGCAGATCACCGGTCTGGTACAATGTCCTAGGGTCGTCACAGCCCTTCTACCCAACAAATGACCCTAAGACCATGTAATATTTCGCCCTAAAAATATGATACTATACAGCTATAAAATTATGCCTTTTCAAATATTTCAAATATTTTCAGGCAAAAAGAAAAAAAGTATTGGGTAGGATTTGAGCCCATGCCAAGACAGTACTAAAACTAGCAGGCCAGTGCACTAACCATGTTGGCCTAACAGGATTTGCCCAACCAGGTGCATTTCTGCACCAGGAAGGTTGACATGGACCACCTCTGTGACCACAAATGCAGGTTTCTACGGCTGAATCTCACACCAACATGGCTGTGGCAAGCTCACTCAAGTACTGTACCTTCAAAGCTGTTATTCATGACTTGTGAAATCTTAAGATTGTCAACAATTCACAGAATGGGCGGGTTTCAAACCCATGGCAAGGCGGGTGTACAACAGAGTACACTATATATTTTTGTAAATAAAGATTGCATTATGAAGTGCAATGTGTGGTGGGTTCCACTCTTTATATTGATTACCCTATTTTTCTATACTTTTCTATTCATTCCTGGTAATGTATGAGCAAATTAATATCAATGAAGGGATTTAGGGAACCAGATAACTCTACTTGAGTTATAAAGGTGGGAAGTATAGGGACTGTGCTTTGAAGAATTAGTGGGGATGTTACAGTGTCCTGGATCATTTGAACTGTGATGCAAGTGCATTTCTGGGAAGACAGGTGAGAAAGTGATGGTGAACATGTTTTTCTTTCACAGATTACTTATTTACGTATCTATGATGTGCTTCCCCACTCCATGAAAGCAGGAACTGGGTAGTGATGATGATAAAGACATGAATTGTGCTTACATGTTTCAGTATGCCTGATCCTTTCAATGATCCACCCTGCAATATCATGGAGAAAGACGGAAAACAAGGTGCAGCTAGTGTAACTCACTTCACTGCCAGCATATGAAACATGAGTTGACAAACACTTAAAAGACAGGTATAACATGTACAGATGAGCACCTTGTTGAATGTGTACATGTACGTGTGTAGAAAGATAATAGTTAAAGAGTTAAAGTATTTTAAAAGGGCCAATGGCAACAAGATAAGTGAAGTGACAAACTGAGACTTTAATGTAGCATGGAAACTTTATAGATGACTAAGTTTTACTTATGAAGGAGCTTTTTTCAGTTCTGGCAGATCTAATAAGGCAACCTTACCATTTAACCCTTTGACTGTCACAGGCCCCTTTCTGAAACTGTCATTCTATGTCGCAAAATATTCGAAAAAAAAAAAAAAAAAATTTCGTATGAAAATGTTAGGATTATTTTAATGAGTGTTTTAAGCCTAAAAAATTTTTTTGCCATCAGTACTTACCGAGATATAGAGCCGCAAAGTTGGCAGAAAGTGAGGTGCGTACGGCAACAGCGGCGACTGCCGCCCACCCGGTATTCTTTTATTTACTCTAATTCAAAAGTTTCTTGTATTTTCCAATATTTTTCTTTTCCAAGTAACTTATGTGGCCTGTGAGACCAATGTAAGGTGCATTGTTCAAATATACACTCATTGTTTACAACACAATAACTGAACTAACTTTATCACTATTAGTTTGTGTATAAAATTTGTTTACACAAACAAACAATACAAAACAATGTTTATTACTATTGTTCCATAATATATATACATATGTACAGTCACTGAACACGTTCCTAGAACTGCTGCAGCTTGTGGAACTCTTTGAAACATGGGTATATGCAGAGTGGCACTTGACACTCCTCACACATAAAACGAGTGACTCTGCGCGTTTGTGGGCGTTTTGTATGTGTACATACATAACACTTCTTCTGAGCATTTTTCTTGGAAGCAGTAGGAGGCAGCTGTATGGGGTAGTGATCACCAGGCCTCAAACGAGATGGCGTGTGTTGGTAATTTCGTGGGCGCTGGTCTATTGCAGGTGTTGCTCCTTGGTACTTTGCGATTATTTGTCTGATTACTGACAAACAAAATTCACCATATTTTGGTGTTTTGTTGGTCTTCAACTTGTATATGTTATAAACATTTAGCATGGAGATATCAACAAGATGGAAAAAAAGTTTTACATACAGTACCACTTATAACTCTTGCGTACACAATCAGCAAACCCAATCTGCATGTCACATTTGTCCACTAAGTGCATATTGAGGTTGTAGTCCATGACAGCTGCAGGCTTTAGAATGGGTTCATTGGTCTCTCTGTTGTGCCTGCCACTGTGTGCCATTTCGTTTCGGTGAGCTGATGTCAACAATGTGACATCACGTTTGTCATGCCACCGAAATTCCATGATGTCATTGGCAGCAAAGGCTTGCACCTCACCTCTGCGAGTGCCAGCGTTGAACCTTGGCATATGTTTACGATTACCATGCACTGTGCCACACACGTCTGTCAAGTTCACTCGCAAGAAATCACTGAGTAAGGGGCTTGTGTACCAGTTATCAGTAAATAACATATGCCCCTTACCAAGATATGGTTCCATCATTGTTCTAACCACATCACCAGAGATACCCAATAACTTCATGGTATCTCACAAAGTATTACTGCCAGTGTACACAATGATATCCAAAACTAGACCACTTCTGCAATCACACAGTACAAATAACTTTATACCAAAGCATTTCCTCTTGCTTGGTATATATTGCTTGAATGAGTCTTCCTTTGAACAAAATCAAAGACTCGTCAACAACAAGCTTCCTGAAGGGATAAAAATACATGCTGCACTTTTGTTTTATGTACATAAACACATTTCTGATCTTATATAACCTGTCGCTTCTGTCAGACCTGGTTTTGTCTGAAAAGCGTAACATACGTAACAGTATCAAGAAACGATTGACACCTATAATGTCACTAAAACCTGGAGTTGAAATCAAGCGTTCTGTTGCCAAGTATGTGGTGACAGTGTGCTTATACACATGTGGCATAAGCATTATTGTGGCAAAAAACAGGTACATCTCTGCACACAGTTGTCTCCTTCCACTGGTGTAGCCGTGATCTTGGTGAGAGAATTGTATTTGCCATGGTGTATTCATAGTATGTGTTGGTTTCCCTGACAATGATGTCCATCAGGGGTTCATCGAAGAATAACTCAAAGCATTCCAGTTCACTAGCATTGTTCCCAAGTGGACATGATGGCTTTATTCCACTTTGTGTTTCATCAAAGTCTTGGGGACTGGGAACAAACTCGTCACCTTCTTGCCAATCCCAGATGTGGTCTGCTGGTGGGTTCTGGATATTGTAATGTGGTTGTGGTTGTGCAGGTTGTGGTTGTGCAGGTTGTGGTTGTGCAGGTTGTGGTTGTGTAGGTTGTGGGAGTGTGGGGTTGGGTGAGGCTGGTTGTTGTTGTGAAGAGTCAGCAGCACGGGTAGTAGCATGGCCCGCTGCTGGTGCCACATGGGTCATGCCACCATCACTATCACCACCACTGCCTGCTGCCTCACTCACATCATTCATACCCATCGTAACAATATCGTCATCTTCATTATCAGGTCGTGGTGTAGGGCCACGGGATGTGCTCCCAGAGTTTCTCCTTCCCCTTGGAACAGCATATAAAACACTACCAGACCGCATGCTACGTCGTACATACTGTCGCTTCACTGTCACAACTAGAACTGCTTTCAATAACCTTGAAATCACTATCACTATCACATTCACTGCTAACATCTGGGTCTTGTACACGACCAAATAGTTTCCTCTTTCGTCCTGGTACAGGTGAACGTGAACGTGAACAAGCCGGCCCAGCACCAGAGGTGGATGGTTGTGGGTCATCTGGGTTTTCATCACTAATTACGTCACCCTGGGCACTTTTTTCGGTCACACTCACTTGAAAACCCTGGAATTCACTGTCACTGACACTTTCGTCGCTGTTAGAGCTATCACTCGGGAACAAAAGACCTCCAATCCGCCGAGGAGTGAGGTACTTCTTACCACGAGGCATGGTGAAAATGGACTACCAAGATGGCTTTCCCACAATGCACCGCCGAGTCCCAGATTTTTTTCACAGGGTGCACACCCACCACTAAGACCCATTCTCTCTCATGTAGGCCTACCAGGCCTTTCCCGCTTGATTTGAAGCTGCTAGAATTTATATGTATAAATACGTCAGAAACAGTGGCGCGTAAAACATATATATACGGCGTAAACAGTCAAAGGGTTAATATTAAAAATATACAAAAAAAAAAATGAATACAGCCTCTCCTCACTTAACGACTGAGTTCCACTCCTAGGACCACGATGGTAAACGAATTCGTCGCTAAGTGAGGAGCATATTATAATGGCATAGAGTTTGTGTCAACCTTTGCACCATTTACGTATAACATTTCTGGTATATTTTTAAATATTTATATAGTAGTGTACTGTATACTGTAATAAAAAGAATAGAGAAAATTAGCTCTAATATACATTATTTAGGTATGCATACTGGTCAGAGAGCCCGTCCGAGTCGTTGGTAAACGAGTATGTCGCTAAGTGAGGAGAGGCTGTATTATATTGCCAAGCTGCACAGGTAAAGCATATGCAGCTTGGCAATGTAGCACAATAGCAATCAAACTAGTAATTGACATAATGAGCATAAACACCATCAAAGTCTGTCTACCTGTGGATAAGGGGAGAAATACCAAGGTTTTATCCGATATTTTCCAAGCTCGATCATCTTCATATTTTTTATACGAGTGATGGCATGGTCGTCAGAGTGGGTGGCGAGAGAGCCAGTCTGTCTAGGAACAGTCTGCTGTTGAGTTATTAGAGGAGGTATCTCAATGTCACACAAACTCCCCATGGACCCTCCAATAGCACTTCCAATAGATGCTCGGCGACCTTCATCCTCCTGTGTAGGTGGAGACTTGCTCTGAAATATTATACAGAATAAATGTATTGTATCAGTTATGGAAGGAGAAAAGAGAATATGAATGCGTAAATTCAAGAATTATGTGGATTAAAGTAAAGGTTGGATGCGAAAAGTGGGTCATAATAAGCGTGTATGCACCTGGAGAAGAGAGGAATGTAGAGGAGAGAGAGAGATTTTGGGAGATGTTAAGTGAATGTATAGGAGCCTTTGAACCAAGTGAGAGAGTCATTGTGGTAGGGGATCTGAATGCTAAAGTAGGAGAAACTTTTAGAGAGGGTGTGGTAGGTAAGTTTGGGGTGCCAGGTGTAAATGATAATGGGAGCCCTTTGATTGAACTTTGTATAGAAAGGGGTTTAGTTATAGGTAATACATATTTTAAGAAAAAGAGGATAAATAAGTATACAAGATATGATGTAGGGCGAAATGACAGTAGTTTGTTGGATTATGTATTGGTAGATAAAAGACTGTTGAGTAGACTTCAGGATGTACATGTTTATAGAGGGGCCACAGATATATCAGATCGCTTCCCAGTTGTAGCTACACTGAGAGTAAAAGGTAGATGGGATACAAGGAGAATAGAAGCATCAGGGAAGAGAGGTGTGAAGGTTTATAAACTAAAAGAGGAGGCAGTTAGGGTAAGATATAAACAGCTATTGGAGGATAGATGGGCTAATGAGAGCATAGGCAATGGGGTCGAAGAGGTATGGGGTAGGTTTAAAAATGTAGTGTTAGAGTGTTCAGCAGAAGTTTGTGGTTACAGGAAAGTGGGTGCGGGAGGGAAGAGGAGCGATTGATGGAATGATGATGTAAAGAGAGTAGTAAGGGAGAAAAAGTTAGCATATGAGAAGTTTTTACAAAGTAGAAGTGATGCAAGGAGAGAAGAGTATATGGAGAAAAAGAGAGAGGTTAAGAGAGTGGTGAGGCAATGTAAAAAGAGAGCAAATGAGAGAGTGGGTGAGATGTTATCAACAAATTTTGTTGAAAATAAGAAAAAGTTTTGGAGTGAGATAAACAAGTTAAGGAAGCCTAGAGAACAAATGGATTTGTCAGTTAAAAATAGGAGAGGAGAGTTATTAAATGGAGAGTTAGAGGTATTGGGAAGATGGAGGGAATATTTTGAGGAATTGTTAAATGTTGATGAAGATAGGGAAGCTGTGATTTCGTGTACTGTATAGGGCAAGGAGGAATAACATCTTGTAGGAGTGAGGAAGAGCCAGTTGTGAGTGTGGGGGAAGTTCGTGAGGCAGTAGGTAAAATGAAAAGGGGTAAGGCAGCCGGGATTGATGGGATAAAGATAGAAATGTTAAAAGCAGGTGGGGATATAGTTTTGAAGTGGTTGGTGCAATTATTTAATAAATGTATGGAAGAGGCTAAGGTACCTAGGGGTTGGCAGCGAGCATGCATAGTTCCTTTGTATAAAGGCAAAGGGGACAAAAGAGAGTGCAAAAATTATAGGGGGATAAGTCTGTTGAGTATACCTGGTCAAGTGTATGGTAGAGTTATTATTGAAAGAATTAAGAGTAAGACGGAGAATAGGATAGCAGATGAACAAGGAGGCTTTAGGAAAGGTAGGGGGTGTGTGGACCAGGTGTTTACAGTGAAACATATAAGTGAACAGTATTTAGATAAGGCTAAAGAGGTCTTTGTGGCATTTATGGATTCGGAAAAGGCGTATGACAGGTTGGATAGGGGGGCAATGTGGCAGATGTTGCAGGTGTATGGTGTGGGAGGTAGGTTACTGAAAGCAGTGAAGAGTTTTTACGAGGATAGTGAGGCTCAAGTTAGAGTATGTAGCAAAGAGGGAAATTATTTCCCAGTAAAAGTAGGCCTTAGACAAGGATGTGTGATGTCACTGTGGTTGTTTAATATATTTATAGATGGGGTTGTAAGAGAAGTAAATGCGAGGGTCTTGGCAAGAGGCGTGGAGTTAAAAGATAAAGAATCACACATAAAGTGGGAGTTGTCACAGTTGCTCTTTGCTGATGACACTGTGCTCTTGGGAGATTCTGAAGAGAAGCTGCAGAGATTGGTGAATGAATTTGGCAGGGTGTGCAAAAGAAGAAAATTAAAAGTGAATACAGGAAAGAGTAAGGTAATGAGGATAACAAAAAGATTAGGTGATGAAAGATTGGATATCAGATTGGAGGGAGAGAGTATGGAGGAGGTGAATGTATTCAGATATTTGGGAGTGGACGTGTCAGCGGATGGGTCTATGAAAGATGAGGTGAATCATAGAATTGATGAGGGGAAAGGGTGAGTGGTGCACTTAGGAGTCTGTGGAGACAAAGAACTTTGTCCTTGGAGGCAAAGAGGGGAATGTATGAGAGTATAGTTTTACCAACGCTCTTATATGGGTGTGAAGCATGGGTGATGAATGTTGCAGCAGGAGAAGGCTGGAGGCAGTGGAGATGTCATGTCTGAGGGCAATGTGTGGTGTGAATATAATGCAGAGAATTCGTAGTTTGGAAGTTAGGAGGAGGTGCGGGATTACCAAAACTGTTGTCCAGAGGGCTGAGGAAGGGTTGTGTGGGTGGTTCGGACATGTAGAGAGAATGGAGCGAAACAGAATGACTTCAAGAGTGTATCAGTCTGTAGTGGAAGGAAGGCGGGGTAGGGGTCGGCCTAGGAAAGGTTGGAGGGAGGGGGTAAAGGAGGTTTTGTGTGCGAGGGGCTTGGACTTCCAGCAGGCATGCGTGAGCGTGTTTGATAGGAGTGAATGGAGACAAATGGTTTTTAATACTTGACGTGCTGTTGGAGTGTGAGCAAAGTAACATTTATGAAGGGGTTCAGGGAAACCGGCAGGCCGGAGTTGAGTCCTGGAGATGGGAAGTACAGTGCCTGCACTCTGAAGGAGGGGTGTTAATGTTGCAGTTTAAAAACTGTAGTGTAAAGCACCCTTCTGGCAAGACAGTGATGGAGTGAATGATGGTGAAAGTTTTTCTTTTTCGGGCCACCCTGCCTTGGTGGGAATCGGCCAGTGTGATAATAAAAATATAAAAAAAATGTATTGTAAAAACAACCTGTAGAAATGTACAATGGTTTTCCTATAATATAAATAGCATGTTTAATTCTTTATAGAGAACACTACGATTTACTGATAAATATTTTTCAACATTTACTGCAGGAAATCTCAAGGCAACTGAATGTAGGAAATCTCAAAATCTTGGTCAATTAATAATATTCCCAGGGCTGACCTATAATACATTACTGAATATGGGATTCCCAACTTTTCAATTCCCAAGTTATCAACATACCTACTTACAAACAAGGTTCATAAACAATATCTTAAAAACTAATGATTTAATGAATGCCAGTCCAGTTACAAAAATGTGTAACACAGATATTCTTCAAAATATTGTTTCCAATAGAACAATAAGCTCTAACTTATAGATAGCTGATTTTTTTTTAACACACCAACCATCACATATGCAACATTTAAAATCCTTATAACAGGGTTGGTGCAACTATACTTTGGAACATTCCCCTTTTTCCTACATGCATAAGGTTCTTTGTCACCACAGATGCTTCAATGAACCACTCACCTTTTTTGCTTCGTCATTTCTATGGTTCACCTCATCTTTCGTTGACCCATCATCTGACAAGTTGGCTTTCAGATATCTGAACACATTTACTTCCTCCATACTCCCTCCCTCCAGTCTGATATCCTAGATTTTTTGGTATTCCCATTACTCTGCTCAAACTCACCTACTAACTTCTGCAACTACTCCTCAGAATCTCCCAAAAGAACCACATCATTGTCAAAATGCAATAGTGACAACTCTCACTAGGTATCAGATTCGTTTAATCCCACACCTCTTCCAACACCCTAGCGTTCACTTCTCTTATAACCCCATTTATAAATATGCCTAAGGCCAACTTTTACTGGAAAATAATCTCCCCTCTCTCTTACATATTCTAACCAGAGCCTCACTATCAAAATAAAAACACTTTGCTGCGTTTAATAACCTTCCACCTCTTTCATACATTTGCAGCGTCTGCCACATTACTCTTATCCACCCTATCATATGCCTTTTCTAAATCCATAAATGCAACAATAAGCTCCTGACCTGTGAGTATTCTTTACTCATATGCTTCAAAGTAATTACTTGGTCTACATATTCCCAACTCTTCCTAAAACTGCCTTGTTCATCTGCAATCCTATTCTCTGTCTTACCTTTAATTCTGTCAATAATAATTACCATTCATTTTACCTGGTATAATCAAAGCTTATTCCCCTATAATCTTACACTCTCTTATCCGCCTTTCCCTTACACAAAGGCACTATGTCAGCTCTCTGCCAATTTGTAGGTACCTTTTCCCCTTTCATGCATTTTTTTTGTTTTTTTTAACAAGTCGGCTGTCTCCCACCGAGGCAGGGTGACCCAAAAAGAAAGAAATCCCCAAAAAAGAAATACTTTCATCATTCAACTCTTTCACCTCACTCACACATAATCACTGTTTTTGCAGAGGTGCTCAGAACACAATAGTTTAGAAGCATATACAAATAAAGATACAAAACATATCCCTCCAAACTGTTAATATCCCGAACCCCTCCTTTAGAGTGCAGGCACTGTACTTCCCATTTCCAGAACTCAAGTCCGGCTATATAAAAATAACCGGTTTCCCTGAATCCCTTCACTAAATATTACCCTGCTCACACTCCAACAGATCGTCAGGTCCCAAATACCATTCATCTTCATTCACTCCTATCGAACATGCTCACACACGCCTGCTGGAAGTCCAACCCCTCGCCCACAAAACCTCCCTTACCCCTTCCTTCCAACCTTTTTGAGGATGACCCCTACCCTGCCTTCCTTCCCCTACAGATTTAAATGCTCTCCATGTCATTCTACTTTGATCCATTCTCTCTAAATGACCAAACACCTCAACAAACCCTCTTCAGCCCTCTAATACTTTTATTAACTCCACACCTTCTCCTAATTTCTACACTCCAAATTTTCTGCATAATATTTACACCACACATTGCCCTTAGACAGGAC